AAGTCCACTGCTTCTATGCTAGAGGTAGAGTATTGCTCTAGCCGCATATAACTATGTCATCCAACATCGTCCAGGAACGACAATCCCGCAGGCTGATTTTCTCTCTCGCTACTCACGATTTTCTGAGGCCGAACAGTGTCATTTCATCTCTCCAGTATCACCTATGTCTCGGGAATCTTTACGCAAATCTACCAAACAGTACTACTCAGCCATACTCTCAGTGATCAAGAAAGGGTGGTCACCAGAGGTAAAGATAAAGTATCCTCAATTCTTTGCTCATCGAGAGGAGTTGTCAGTACAACTGAATGGTGTATTACGTCGCGCCGATCGATTGGTAATCCCACCNATCCCACCGCCAGTACGGAAGACGGTACTAGGAGAATTGCATAAAGGGCATATGGGGGTGGAGAAGAGGAAATCATTGGCTCGACAGATGTGTTGTTGGGTGGAGTTGGACACAGACATTCACGCAACAGCCAAGAACTGTGAGTCATGTTTACATAAATTACGCACAAGACCGAAAAACTGGACACCATGGCCGGAAATTTATATACCATGGCAAAGGGTTCATTTGTATTTCTGTGGTCCATTTCTGAACCGGTACTACGCCCTTGTCCTGATTGATTCATACTCCAAATGGCCAGAGGTATTCCTTACGACTACTACATCATTTGTGATACAAGTTCTACGGAAATGTTTTAGTCGCGAAGGGATTCCACAGGTGCTTGTGACGGACAATGGATCTCAGTTCTGTGCGACCGAAATGAAGCTGTCAAGAGTGCAATTGCGTCGGCCGATCCTAAAACGCTACATGAGTTGGAAACGTTGGTGGATAACTTCCTACTCCAATACCGAAACGCAACACACAACCACCAAGGAGAGCCCGGCAAATCTTTTTAAATCCAGACGCTTGCGATCCTCCCTACAGTGCCTCGACTCCAGTGACGTCGTATACTTGCGTGGTAACAATTTGCGACTCGCATCTGGTGTACTCACACGACAACTGGTTCAAGCCATGACGGAAATTACCGACTTGAATGATGCTACTACGCACAACCGACACGTGGACCAAATCCACTTCAAATCATCCACGGACCAGCGGCATCAAGAGGCAAGCGAAGGAGACAATCAGTTGCATACCCAATGAGCACAACCGACGGATCCGCATCAGTCAGATGTACAGAAACAACCAATCGAAACACAAGGACACAGCCAGAAACAGGCGGAGCGAACGATTGCAGTTCGCAAGTCTAGACGTTAGGTGAGCCAGATTAATGAGGCACCCTTGAGAGAAGAGAGTTATGGTGATCCAGACTTCCGTGACCGCAATCAATGCACGACGAGGTACAGTTTCATGTCATCCCATCACCGTTCAGGAAGCTTGACCAATGGTACACTGGGCGAACGTGACATCCGGGTTAGTACATATGATGCGTCGGCGCAAACGGTTACGTAATTGGACGACGGCACTTCAACCAATCATATGAGCTATTACCTTCCATAAAATATGATCTTATTCTATCAATAAAAATAAGCATTTGCTCCTCTCAATTCCTCGTGTATTTCATTGGTGTCCGAAGTTCGGGTTGGAGCCAATTCAGTTCTGAGTAGTACAGTACGGATTCTCGTATTCCTAAATTCAATACTATTCCGATTATTGTACTTACCCATGACGTTTCTTGAGGCCGCCATTAGCACAGTGAAGTTCTGATCTGAATGCTTTTCGCTGCGGTTTATAATCGACTTATCTGGAATAAGACTGTGAATATCCCAATTATTCAGATCGAATACCCTGGCTATATGCAATGAGGGCAAAAACCATTGCGCATAGAAATAACACCCACACTTCGTTTCCCCTGCAGTAACTACTTTATAACCCTTGCCCTTACTATCCACGACAATGAAGAAGTCTCTCTCGTGAACAATCCGCTCAATCTTACATGACTTGCAGTTACTTAATAATATATTCCGCGCAAGTGGTGTCACTCTGATGAGCAACGGTTTAAACGACTGGATGTCGGATACTCCCTAATGGAATCTTTAGCAAGGCAAATTCCATGCGTCACTTGCAGTGACCTCACTCGTTGTAGCACTTTCTTAAATACATCCACTAATGAAGACGAAGGAAACAAGCCTGTCTTGAGGTACCTATTTTTCGTCTCTACTCGGTTGGTAGTTAGGTTTCCTAAAGTCAACCTAGTCTTTACGCCATACCCTGCTCACTGCTGTCGGTGTGGTAACCAAGTTTGGCGTAAAGAAACACCTGCTTCTGTGCTACGATTTTCTACGGCGGCTAGGAATCTACGAAACGAATTCTCACTAACGCAGTACACCATGTTGCGCATCCATTGAAAGATGCCGCGCTGCTTTTTGAACATTGGCATACCACATAGCTGGTTACATTTCTTTTTCATATCCTTATCGGGATGGAGACGACAAAATATCATATTAGAGGACGGAAAGTCTTATGGAAACGCGTTGTGCTGAGCCAGGCTACGATCGCCTACTATAGTTTTGCATTGTGCAAAGTCTGGGCACATCTTTATGGCTCCCACAGCAGATCTATAGCTCTCACTGCTCTCATTCGGCCAGATAGCGTAGAAGAAACCTCTACCTAAACCGGTGTCGTCTACAAACATAGCATGCCAAATCATGTACCCGCCACAGTTTGGCTGATGTGTGGCGTCCGCTAATAAAACATCAATAAACCTAACGATGTAGTGCAACATAATCTTAGGAACAAAATAAACGTGACGAACGACGCCTTCGTTCAGCCCTATCCTAACATCTCCTTGATTATCCAGCATATCCCGAACTTTGACCGCATCGCCACGTGAAACCGACTAAGATCGTCGACGTATGGATCTTATATCTGCCGTAGTTAAGGGTCTCTGGAACCTGTGTGTGGCGAAATCTCTTAGCTCACGCGTACTTCTAAACTTGTCCATCAAAGTACACACTTCCTCTTCCTGTTCTCCAGATAGACGACAATTACTAGTTTACTGACCCTGCTGACCCGTATGGAAGTCATGGTTGTGCACCAGACAATATTTCATCACTCACATCCCGACCACGCAAATTCTCACGAATGCCGGACAATCGATATTTTGCCGCTCATAATGGGTTAAGTAAGTTAGAAATGAGAGGCGTAATTGCCTGGTTGCAGTTGCACCGCGCTTTCTGTGATGTACACAACAATGTTTGATGAAATAGTAAGGAAAACCATCGATCAGAGTCAGTTTCTGACCAGACTTTCTATCCCGTATCAGTTGTTCGGCTCTCATTGAAGCATAAAGGTTGAAGGAAGTGCAAGTAACTCTTTGGAATTCACGGAAGTCCTCCAAGAATCCGTCCAGCGCTTCATAGCAATTTTTTATCATCCGTTCAAAAGCGATCGTACCGTCAAAATAAGCCATGGTTGATATGAGCGTGGAAGTAATCATCGCAATTAGGTTGCAGTGTTTACACTTTCCTTAAAAAGTTAATTAAGGTNTAAAACAAATTACATTTTAACAAATCACTCAGAATCAGCTAAAGGAAAATTTTCTGAAATGTGCTGAATTCGACACCGCTTTTCCTAAAATGCATTTAAAATTCGGTGGTTTTTAGGAATCCTAATAGTTGAGATGCCACGCCCATTACCTCGCAAGAGGGGCACGGTAGACGCCTAGTATGCCTATCTGCCTTGTTCCCAGCTGGACACAGCATCCTACTGCTTGGATGTTAGGGGAAACTAAGACCAACTTTGTTTCCCACTGGCTGAGGGATGACTTAACTGATGTTAGCACACCACCACTATATCTGCCGTCTACTCTATACTGCCGGTAACTAGTATAGCCCCCGAGG